AAATGCGTTGGAGGTTGTGCAGGAGCAGATGTTGAGTTGCGTGCGTGGTAGAGTTGTGGTATATCTGCTGTTGCTGATATTTGCTACGGTTTCTGGCGTTAATAGTGGTTTAGGGTTTATGCGTAAGCCTCGCTGAAGCTGTTTCCCTTGGAACGGACTGCAGTCTTTATGTTTCGGGCGTTTTGATCGGTGGCGTGTATGTTTGAGTTGTGGCCTTGCGATTGATGCAGCGAGTATGCGAGGCGTGTGACGGTTCAGTTCATAGCATTAGAGGACATCGGAATTATCAAGGCTTTGAAGTATCACTACAATTAGGGCATTTAGCGTTGGAGGTTGTGGAGAAGCAGATGTTGAGTCTGTTGCTGCTGATATTTGCTACGGTGTCTGGCGATGATAGTGGTTTGAGGTTTATGCGTAAGTTTCGCTGAAGCTGTTTCCCTTGGAACGCACTTCAGCCTTTATGTTTCGGCGTTTTGATTGGTGGCGTATATGTTTGAGTTGCGGCTTTGCCATTGGTGCAGCGGGTATGCGCGGCGTGTGACGGTTCAGTTCATAGCATTAGAGGACATCGCAATCATCAGCGTTTTGAAGTATGCCTACAATTAGGGCGTTTAGCGTTGGAGGTTGTGTAGAAGCAGATGCTGAGTTGAGTGCAAGGTGGAGTTGTGGTATATCTGCTGTGGCTGATATTGGCTACGGTGTCTGGCGTTGATAGTGGTTTAGGGTTTATGCGTAAGCTTCGCTGAAGCTGTTTCCGTTGGAGCAGACTGTAGCAGCCTTTATGATCTGGCGTTTTGATCGGTGGCGTGTATGTTTGAGTTGTGGCCTTGCGATTCATGCAGGAAGTACGCGAGGGGTGTGACGGTTCAGTTCATAGCAATAGAGGACATTGCAGTCATCAATATCTTGAACAATCCCTACAATTAGGGCGTTTAGCGTTGGAGGTTGTGTAGAAGCAGATGTTGAGCTGCGTGCATTGTACAGTTGTGGGATATCTGCTGTGGCTGGTATTGGCTACAATTTCTGGCGTTGATAGTGGTTTAGGGTTTATGCGTAAGCTTCGCTGAAGCTGTTTCCCTTGGAACGGACTGCAGCCTTTATGATCTGGCGTTTTGATCGGTGGCGTGTATGTTTGAGTTGTGGCCTTGCGATTCATGCAGGAAGTACGCGAGGGGTGTGACGGTTCAGTTCATAGCAATAGAGGACATTGCAGTCATCAATATCTTGAACAATCCCTACAATTAGGGCGTTTAGCGTTGGAGGTTGTGTAGAAGCAGATGTTGAGCTGCGTGCATTGTACAGTTGTGGGATATCTGCTGTGGCTGGTATTGGCTACAATTTCTGGCGTTGATAGTGGTTTAGGGTTTATGCGTAGGCTTCGCTGCAGCTGTTTCCCTTGGAACGGACTGCAGCCTCTATGCTCTGGCGTTTTGATCGGTGGCGTGTATGTTTGAGTTGTGGCCTTGCGATTCATGCAGGAA